AATCTTTTCATCTCCAAAGGTGAAAAGGACACTCGTTTCCTTACGTTTGTTGGTAAAGCACCTGCTGTATCCACAGAATCACAGGATATGCTGAGTTGGGAGGGACCCACAAGGATCATCCATCCAACTCCTGGCCCTGCACAGATTCCCCTACAATCCCACCCTGTCCCTCAGAGCGTTGTCCAAACCCTCCTGGAGCTCTGGCAGCCTTGGGGCTGTGCCCACTGCCCTGGGGAGCCTGGGCAGTGCCAACCACCCTCTGGGGGAAGAACCTTTTCCTGACATCGTACCTGACCCTGCCCTGACACAGCTCCAGCCATTCCCTGGCTGCTGTCCCTGGTTCCCCCAGAGCAGAGCTCAGTCCCTGCCCCTCCTCTGCCCCTGTCCAGGAATTGGAACTGCAGTGAGGTCTCCCCTCATACTCCTCTTTTTGTCCTGGTTTCAGCTGGGAAGAGTTTTAATTCCTTCTCAGCAGCTGTCCCAGTGCTGTGTTTTGATTTTGGTTTTTTCTAAATCGTGTCTATCCCAAGTGAAGGACTTTGGTTTTCTCTTGTCTCATGCTCTGCCAGGGAGGAGGTGCACAAAGGAAACTGGGAGGCAGCAGAGCTGGGATAGGTGACCCAAACTGGCCAAAGGGATATTCCACATCATGGAATATCCTGCCCACTATATCAACTGGGAGGAATTGCTGGGAAGAGGCTGATCTGGATTCGGGAAGGGGGTTCTGGCATCAGTCAGCAGGTGCATTGTGAATCTCTTGGTTTTCCCCTCTTTATTATCATTATTATTATTTACCGATATTATTATTGTATTTTACTTTATTTTCAATTATTAAACAGTTCTTATCTCAACCTACAAGTTTTACTTTGATCCTCCTCCCCATTTCACTGGGGTGTGGGGGGAAGAGAGGGGAACTGAGCAAGAGGCTCTGTGGTGCTTCATCTCCAGCTGGACTCATTCACACCATTTTCCACCAAAGGAGTTCAGAGAATTTTACAGGATGAAGTGGCTCAGAGCTGGGGAGAAAAAGTGTGGCTGGAGAAATTAATTTTCTCATTTAAACCCACCATAATTAAAGGCTCCAGGCAGAACACTGGGCTCTGCACGGCATCCCCTGGGAGACAGGATTGTCTGTTCAATCCAGACACACAACGTCTGCTCACCTGCTCAGAGCACAGAGCAATCTCGGCACCTACAAGTGCTAAATCAATCTGAGCAAAGTTATTTCGACTCTCCTGAAGTAAATAAGTGAAACCAGATTGCTGACAGGATGTTCCTGTTTGGCAATTAAAACGTTGTCTTGTTTCACGAGGAAACAACGATGTTGCAAAGCAACCTAAGGTTAAGAGGGAGAGTAAGAAACGTCTTCCCTCACAGACCATGTGGGCTGAAGCACTGCCAGCACCTAAAAACATGGATATTGATTGTGTTCCTTTTTTTAATGCATTAGATTATAATAAAATACACAGCAAAACCCAAACCAGCCTTGAAACTTTTTCGGGAGCATCTGAGGGTGAAGGGAGAGGGTATTTGCCATTTTTTCCACTTGGCACGAGCTACCCAGGGAATGCATAACCTAAAGAGCAGTGACTGCACAGACATGGTGCAAAGATGCTCTTAGGTGGCAACTGGAAGAAGAGATCAATTCTCCCAGGTCTCTTCTCCCAGGTAACAAGGGACAGGATAAGAGGAAATGGCCTCAGGTTGTGCCAGGGGAGGTTTAAATTGGGTATTAGAGATTTCTTTTT